CATCTTAACATTGCTTACAACTAGATTGCATCATACCTTGATATTATACATCTTAACATTGCTTACAACTAGATTGCATCATACCTTGATATTATACATCTTAACATTGCTTACAACTAGATTGCATCATACCTTGATATTATACATCTTAACATTGCTTACAACTAGATTGCATCATACCTTGATATTATACATCTTAACATTGCTTACAACTAGATTGCATCATACCTTGATATTATACATCTTAACATTGCTTACAACTAGATTGCATCATACCTTGATATTATACATCTTAACATTGCTTACAACTAGATTGCATCATACCTTGATATTATACATCTTAACATTGCTTACAACTAGATTGCATCATACCTTGATATTATACATCTTAACATTGCTTACAACTAGATTGCATCATACCTTGATATTATACATCTTAACATTGCTTACAACTAGATTGCATCATACCTTGATATTATACATCTTAACATTGCTTACAACTAGATTGCATCATACCTTGATATTATACATCTTAACATTGCTTACAACTAGATTGCATCATACCTTGATATTATACATCTTAACATTGCTTACAACTAGATTGCATCATACCTTGATATTATACATCTTAACATTGCTTACAACTAGATTGCATCATACCTTGATATTATACATCTTAACATTGCTTACAACTAGATTGCATCATACCTTGATATTATACATCTTAACATTGCTTACAACTAGATTGCATCATACCTTGATATTATACATCTTAACATTGCTTACAACTAGATTGCATCATACCTTGATATTATACATCTTAACATTGCTTACAACTAGATTGCATCATACCTTGATATTATACATCTTAACATTGCTTACAACTAGATTGCATCATACCTTGATATTATACATCTTAACATTGCTTACAACTAGATTGCATCATACCTTGATATTATACATCTTAACATTGCTTACAACTAGATTGCATCATACCTTGTTCAGTCTTTCCAGCTCCAAGACTACACAAGCATATCTCCTTTGAAAATCTTTATCAATTGGGTCCTGATATGATTTCTGAAATATTACAGTAAGAAAAACCACTGTTAAAATTCATATTTTGTATGGTAAGGTCTATGTCTACATGTGCAACAAACCATTTTTTCTGCTTGTGTGTTCATCTCTTTAAGTTTCTCAATACACTCCTTTTTCACCAAGAGAATTTTGGATAGTCTTGTCTGAAACATGAATGCAAGCTTTAGGGATAATTTCAACCAGCAATAACTATTGCAAATGTGCCTAAATAAGTATCTACCACAAGAATTAAGAAGCGAATCGGGAATCCGCCAAGAGTTCCTCCTGTAAGCAAAGAAAACATGAATTATTCAAGTTACCTAAAGTTACCCGATCACGTGAGCTGCGTCCTTCGTAATTCAGCACTCGGGCTGCAAGGATGGGCGATTAGCTACCACTAATTTATTTATTTATTTATTTATTTATTTAAATGAATTATTAAAGTCATAGAGTCTGATTTCTAACCTTGACCTTGTTGGCTTAAAGCCTCTTGTAACTTAAGCCTTAAAGACAATTGTTAATATTTGTATCTTAGTTAGAAAACAATGCTAGATAACTAAATACAATCATGTATTTAAAAACAAACTGAGGTATACCTTGCAGGTGAAGCACCTAATAAAGGATCATTTAGCTGTTGAAAAAATGATGTTGATTGTTAATGAAAATGATCACATAACTAGTAGTAGCAATAGCAGTAGCAAATTAATAAATTTACAATAATTATTACTCTGATAGCAATTGCCATTGGAAAATATGTTTGCAAAATTGATGACAATATACATATCACTTCTACTAAATGTCAATCTATAAGAAATATGACAATTTGTATGAGATTTATAAAATATCTAATGAATGTAAATATGCAGTTAAGTATAATAACCAATATGAATTTTACATTTTAAAGATATAAAAAAAACTGATCATTATACAAGTCAAAAGGGACGTTGTGTACAAGTTGAAATAGTGCATTGGGCAGAAATACATTTTTTAGAAATCCACTTGTTGATAGATGTTGGCATTTCTACCAATATCATCTSACTGGTTGGTACACTCAACACAAGTGCAAATTACTGTACAATATTATTTATTTATTGCTACTCACCATACTAGGGCTTCCATGAAGGCCAAGACCACTACAACAACAAATTATTAAAATGTTGAATAAKAAAATTACCATTCTTTGTGCTGTAAATAGCCCACTTTTATGGTTAATCATACATTTTCTTTGCAAAACTTTGCAACTTTGTRGGCTGTATTTTCAACAAATTGCTCTAAACCTGGCGAATTTATTAACTATTGGTAATAAAACATCAAAACAAAACCATAAAATTTCCCGTAGAAATCACCAGGGTGTTAACAGGCCTTATATGTAACTAATGYCATTGGATTTTCTTGAAGTCAAAATAACAATAAATGAAAGGTCTTGAGCTAGCATTGATGCAACAAAGTGAAAAAAGGAGGATCATTGCYTAAATGAAGCAACAAAGCAATAATTCAAAAAATGAACCATACCTTGGAGGTGTGTATGTAGGTGGRAATACTGCTGTCCTTGGCCTTTCTTTGAGTAAAAATGAAGATAATGGCATAGTTTCCTGCAGCTCTTCACTCTTATCATAGAAAAAAATATAAATTAAAAGACAAATTGTCAAATAACATTATTTTCTTGAAGATAAATATCCTTGGCGAATTACGGTCATCTCACCCCATTGCCAACTTGCACCCACTCTAGCGTCTCGCCCCACCATCCCGCCCCAATATTATATATCCTTAGTCCACATTTCAGATGTTATTTGTGTGATTCTAGYGTGATGTATTTGATTTATTACATATCAGGAACACTCACTTGTTTTAACATTCAAGCGGCAAGTATACTGTCGCTGTTGTCATTCGATCGACTGCAGTTTATACCGTAATACGCAGACTGAATCGAGCTTTAGTGTGATCGAGAATGGCATAGTGGGGGCGAGATGACAATGGGGCGAGATGACCAGTAACAAATGTGCATAGCAACGCCATTAGCCAATTAGGTCTATTGATATGRTTGAATGGAAATGCGCTGAACTAAGATTATGTGTTTATTACTAACAGTAATTTATATTTTTTTCCTTCTACCAGCACAATTTCTACTCAACCCGAATCAACAGCATTGACATCAAGATGTATTTTGAAAAGTATTATCATGATTTCTTATCTGTTAGTTACTGTAATGTAACTTGGTATCTTGTGAAATCGCAAGGTGTTCGATAATGCTACTTACCAATACTTCTGTGTCAGGAATAGAATGTGTCCCAAGACCTGTTGGCAATAATAATCATGATTAGTTCACAAACTGGAAAACATTTTAACAGATATTCATATGTTTCTTGTCTAAATTTGTGTACTTGCAATCAGTGTTCACTGACATAAGACCATGAATGAGAAAGCAGTGTTGTTGTACTAGATGCATCATAGACTGTATACTGCCTGTATACTGACAATACAGACCAATACAATAAAGAGTTGAATCATTTTTATTTGTATATTATAGTATAAAGGAAAAACAACCTGTTCTGACAATTTTAGGGTCTAAAAACCTGTGAGATAATATAGTCTTAATAATATTAATGTATTATTAGTGTGTGTTGAATTGATTTTTAGTAATTATGATTGTAAAACGTCCTTCTCCATAGTTTGTAGGTTGATGGAAATAAGCAAAGGGAACATCAGTTTCCTTGATTAAACCATCAAATTGTGGGTAAAGTATGGAAGTCTGCTTGTAAAAAAAAACAAATTCATGTTTTGGGACATCATGTTAGCTAAGACTAAGTGTTGTATTTTACATGTGATACTTAAAACCCATAGAATGTGCATAGAATGGCATAATTACAAGTCGTAAGTAAGCTTGTCAGAGATTGTTGGATCACTTCAAATGGACTAGCAAAAGAAAAGGAATTTGCATTGAAGTAAAATAGACAACATGCTGTAATGTCGTTCCCATTTGTTTACCATGATTGTATGTCATATACAGTACAAACGTTTGTCGTTAAATAAATTCTCTTGTCATAACATTTGCAATCATCTCATAATTTGAGTGCCTTGGTTACATTATTAAGTAGCAGAAATTACCTGGTCTATCAAATGTTACTCGGTACGAACAATTCTGAGTGTCAACTGCTTCTATTTGCCCTGTGAATACGCCATCTTGTGGTGCCCTCAAACG